AACCACTAAGGGTTTTTTATGTAATCTGGTTAATATGAGTCATAAAACCACTAAGGGTTTTTTATGTAATCTGGTTAATATGAGTCATAAAACCACTAAGGGTTTTTTATGTAATCTGGTTAATATGAGTCATAAAACCACTAAGGTTTTTTTTATGTAATCTGGTTAATATGAGACATTAAACCACTAAGGTTTTTTATGTAATCTGGTTAATATGAGACATTAAACCACTAAGGTTAATTTTAGAGAAAATGACATGGGTTACGATAAAGTACACCGGACTCCAGCGGTAGCAGATTGTTGCATTCCAATGTACATGGCACTGGTAACCCACTAGAGGGCACAGTTGGGACAGTCTGAAGCCATTCTATGGGACTGATAACCATTAATAACATCCATTTAATGGACTGGTAACATCAGAAGTTTGCTGACTGCTGGCTACCTTTGAACCCTTTTCCCCTCCACCTGAGATGCCGTCATTTTGTGGGTAAAATAATCAACTTGCATTATGGGAGATGTAGTTTATGATCAATACTGGCTTTAAAACAGCTTGTTTATTTTAAGACATTAACACACCTTTGAAGCTCTCATGGGCCACATAAAATGCCGTGGTGGGACATATTTGGCCCACAGGCCTTGAATTTGAAACAAGTGTTCTATACAAAGTAACTGACTAATTATTATTCAGATTAAAAAGTGTCTTGGAGCTCAAACGCGAAAAGTTCCAATTTTATTGACAAGCATTTTCCTGTTGGAGTAAATAATTAATTTTTTGTCTTGATTTCACCGTTCTTCTTCTAGGATGTGTAAAAATCGGATTATTTTCTAAAATATTTTTTCGCAGAAACATAAAAATATATAAATGATTCACAGATTGCTAACTGAAGTGCACAACAAGAAAGAGTGATGCTAAAATATTGTTGAACCACGGCAGAAATATGTAAAATATTTATTCTTTTTTTTTTTTGGTTGAACTTTGATAAAGATGTTGGATTTTCATATTTCAGATTGGCTCTCCAGGGAGCCAAGTGTTGTTTGATTGAAACATGAAAAATGAAACAGCAGCTGAGATTTCTGGGTGTCTTGTTGCTGCGGTTCCTATCTGTGACCCAGATTATCAGCCAAAAGCGTCTCAGGTGTAAAAACTATGAATGCACAAGAGGCGCAGGCTGGTTACAAACTCACACAGCTGCAGCCACTTTAAAGAAAATAAAAAAGGCAAAAACAATCAAATCAAGACAGAAGTTTTGCTCTGCTCCACAAACTTTCAGTGGCTGAAAAAAAGGAGAAGATCTCCAGCAGCTACAGCAATGACGGAAAGTTTCCCTTCTCACGTCTCAGCCTGTTGGAATCACGCGTTGCATCAATAAATCAGAGTCAAAGCTCTGCCTCGTGGATCTAAAGGGAACCGTGAAAGGTGCTGAGGTCCCACCGGAYGGGCAGAGGATGGGAAAGAAGCCAGCATGAAAGAAGGAAGACGAGGCCGTGGGATGAGGGTTAAMTGTGGAAGGAGAAAAGAAATCTGCTCTCTTTCTTTCCTGCTTTTAAATTCTCCTCATTTCTTTCACTTCCTATAAATCCAATCATCCCTTTACAGCCAAAACTTTGTGAAAGAGAATGTCAAGTCAGCAGATTCCCGATCCTCTTATCTTCTCTTTAACTGACCCGTCTCCATCATTTCCTCTCAGAGCTCTCCTAAAGGTCTCCCTCAGACTGCAGACCATTACCMAGAGGATTCATTAGGACTTTACAAGTTTTCTACTGCAGCTGACCTGTCTCTCCCAATTTGACATGATAGATTTATTTTCTTTTATTTTGTTCTCTGCAGAAACCTTATTTGAAAATCTTTACTTTTGACAACACAGTCAGGTTTAGGTTTTGAACATAACTTTGTTTTAAAACTTCTAAAAAATACATCTTTTTATCATGTCGCAATGTGAGGTTAAGAATTTTTTTTAATTATTTTAATCAGCAAAGTACTGCTTACAGCTTTAGGAAGCAACTGAAAACATATTATAAAACCAATTTCTCTTTTGGATAGATGTATGTGCATATTTATGAATGTTGAGATGTTATTGTAAATGTAGAGATATTGTGTTTTTATGTACTGAATGTGAATGTAGAGATGCTATTGTTTTTTATGCATTAGAGTATCATAGTATCTAGGACTAAGTAGATTAAGTTTGTGAATTTTTGTTTTTGTAAGGAAAATTTAAAATATTTCCATATTGAAAGCTAAGCTTTGTGTTTTCTTTGAAATACTGAAAGGTGGAATGTGTTGTTTTAATGTTTTATCTGTAGTGTGATTTCTTAAATGTAATTTGTCTTTTTTTAACTGACCCCAGGAAGAAAAGCTGATGCAGCATGCTGGTGATGGGGATCMAATAAATAAACAAGTGAATCTTTCTTCAGAAAAATATATTTATTCCTGCTGTTAAATATCACTGAACTGGTTCCAGAACCATAATAAGAATCTTAGTGTGAATCCTAAAAACACAGTTGGCTTTCTCTGGAAAACAAAAGCAGGCTGACAGAGAGCCAGAACACAAAGAAAATAACTGTGTCGATGAAGAGATTAAACAGACGAGGGGAATAATTAACACTTTCCTCACTTTAGTGTTACTCTTATATTTTAATTATTATATGAAATTATATTTTATTTTTCATGCTTTAGTGATGTGTTACACATATAAACCATACTGTGTGTGTATAT